ATTGTGACCAGACCGGCCGAGGGAACGGAGAGCAGGAAGGTGTGGGAGGATCGTAGGGAGCGGATGGGGGTTTTAACTTGAAGGAGATCTGAGATGTAAGATGGAGCCAAGCTGTGGAGGGCCTTGAATGTAGGTAGGAGGAGTTTGAAGATGATTCTTTGTTTGATGGGGAGCCAGTGGAGTTGTTGCAGGATGGGACATGATATGATGATATGATGAGAAATGGGGGTCCGAGTGATCAGGCGTGCTGCACAGTTTTGGAGATGAAAATTGTTCTGACTTTAAATGGTGTAAAGATCAGAATGCATTCTCATTTGTTTAAAAAAAAAATAAAGTCCACATATATTATTGAAAGTCATTTGAATCACTTAGTGGGCCATGCATGGTGATGATGGTGACAATAATAATAGTATTAATAATAATTCAATATTAATATTGGTTATATCCAAGTAACGTATTCCTATGGGCAACAAGTTAAAGGGACAAACTAAACTGTTCATAATTTATTATTTATGGTACGCCAGAATTCATAATATATATCATCCTGTCCACTGAACTGCTGCTGGTTTTAGAGAGACAGCGAATTGAGCTCTGCCCTGCTGGACCTAAATGCAAGTGCTAGTCATAAAAATATGCATGTCTAGAAATTCAAACAGAACAAGCTACATCTTACCCCTGCTTTCTGGGTGTGCTCCTCGGCGGCCAGCGGCACAACATTCTTTCTGATGTGCTGGTGTTGAAATCTCTGACCCTCTTTCATTTCCCTTAGGGGGAAAAGGTCCTCTGGTGAGAAGTGGGCACTGCATACTCGATAATCCAGTCGCCGTAAGCGAGGAATAGTGATTTTGGGGTCCATTTTCAAGACAACGAGCCATAGTTTCAAAACATCCCGATTGCAGAGAGGAAGCCGGTGGAAACTGTATTTCGTCCAAGTTGACATTTTGTTGTCGCATCCTGGATATGCACACATTCGACCCATGGTTGCCTAATAGATAATTCACTAGTTTTATCACGTCTCTTTCTGCAAACTCGCTGCGTGCACTTAAGTAGCGTAGCCGCCTGTGGCTCGGGCTGCCTATCACAACACTAGTCCGGCGCGGACTGATGGCGTCATACACACTCCGCTTTGTTTTAAAAAAAATATATAAATATAAAAAAATATAACCAGGAGTGTTTGGGGGACAATGATTTGCCTATATGTTATGAATGCTGGCGTACCATAAATAATAAATTGTGAACAGTTTAGTTTACGCCTTCTACTCGTTGCCCAAAGGAAGACGTTACCTGGATATAACAAAAACGAATATCTTCGTAACAGCTCCAAATGACACAAAACTCATATGGGTGAGTAATAACGTAAAATCAAGGACCCAATGTAAAAACACCGGTGTTTCCCTTTAACTCTTTATTCGCGTTTCCAAAATATGTTTTAGTTTTTTTAGGATGTTTTTTTTGTGAAGTAAGATTTATGAGCAATATTTGACCTCGGTATTTTCAAACATCCTGGTTAAGGTCTTGTCAGAGGGCACTTTGCATTGAACATAACCTGATATTTAGTTGGAAGTCAGTAAGGGGACTTCTCTTGGCTAAAAACTAAGCATTACATGAGCATAGCAGTTCGCTTTGTGAACAAAAACATTACCCAAACGGTTTCAGGCTGAAGCACTGACCAGAAAAAAAAAAGTCATTTCGTCAAAATCCAAGCAGTAACAACAAGTTATTAGCACTTTGTCCGACATGATCACATAGGAATAGAAACACGGTGATAGTAACTTCTGTCTAATTTATATCTGCTACACACTCACTGGTATTTTAGAAGATTGTGTCCCAACAGTGTACACCTTCGGCACTGCAGTGTCCTTGAGGATCAGGTCCTTCGCCAGTCCTGCAGAATACTGCCCATAGTTGGTGAAGCTGGACTCGGTGAAATGTCTAGCGCAAACCCGGTCTCTCTTCGTCAGCCCTCTCTCGTCAAAATGCAGGAACTCGAACCAGCAGGCACGAATGCCGGGAGTCGCCGGGATGTTAAACAACGTGGTTTGCTCGGGCGGACAGCCCAGCAAACACCGCCGAGGAACGCTCATGCTAAGGAACGTTATCTGTGCACTACATCAAACACTCTCACAAACGCGAGAAACACCCACACCCACAAACAACACAATCACACAGTTTTGCCACACAATCTCTCACCACTAGATAAATCACAGGCCCCTTACAATTACCCGCTCTCTGTAACTGGGTCCTGCGCATGCTAGTGACGTTACGTTACACGATTGGCTGAACGTTGCCACATGACATAAAACAGTGGTTGCCCAGACAACGATAATAACATCACGCAGCGTGAGTTAGCGTGTCTAATGACCGATGGAGTTTTACCTGATCGATAATAAAACTTGAAAAAAATATGTTTATGTTGAACAAATTAACTGAAAAATAACAGGTTAGCCTCTTTTAGCTCGGTCAGTTAGCCACATTAAGTTACACTACTTTTTAATTTGTATTAACGTTCGTTTCCTACAACGAGAATAACTGTTTTCTTTGTCTAAAACCTCTACAAAAGCCCTTATTTTAGGATGTCACGCTTGTCCTTCCCCGTCCTCAAATCATAATAAAATTAAAGTGAGACTTTTTGTCACCTTGTTAAATGGCAGAGCTCATTCTGTCAGGCAGTTCTTTCCTTGGAGACTGACAATGATTGTTTCAGCTACTTTAGAACGCCAATAACATGTGAAATAATAGCAAATATAGGTAATAATATGTTGAGACTCCAAAAGAGATTAGATCCTTAAGAAACGGGTGCAATGCAGCTTGAGTGGAGTTGCCATTAATTAATGCCATAAGAAGCAGATCTGGTACCTACACCCTCTAGACCCACAGCTAGTTCGTGACAGTCCCTCTTGCGTTGTGGCGTGGAATAATATAGCGCGGAATAATATAGCGCAGACCACGCTTCAATATTGGGCACAAATCAAAAATATCTGTGACAAGCTCACTGCAACACTCTGCTGCCGGGAGTATAAAACAAGCTGGTTAAACCCAGGCCTCCATTGGTTGAAAAATTTGATTTCCATCGATCATTTTTGTCTGATTGTTTTGTCAGAACATTCAACTTTGTACAGAATAAATTATTGAATAAGAATAATTAAGATCTTGGCTGTGTTATTAGTGTTACCTTTATTTTTGGACAATTTGCACAACAGCATGTGATACTCAATGTCAATAAGTGATGCTTCCTAAGTGGACTGTTTGATTTCACAGAAGTTTGATTTAATTGAAGTTATATTGCTGTTGTATACATCTTTCCTTTATTTTTTTGAGCAGTGCATAGAAACCCCAATAAATTTCCCAAAACCTGGCTACAGAAAATTGGAACAGAAAAGTTATCTCTGCAAGAGGTGATGACATAATTTTGCTTTTTAAGGTTGTTTAAACAGGTTCTGGCATAATTTTTTTTTTCTGCATAGTGTCTAGCAATTTTTATAAGCAAATACAGCAGCTGAAGGGTGGGAAGGACTTTTTAATTTATTGAAATCAGATGTGGACTTACAAAGTATGAGTGTTTGGTGGAAAAAAAAATGGAGTTACAACATTTAATATCCCTTTGGGATTAATGAAATATTGTTTAATTGGATTTACAGAACAATTCTTCATAACAAGGATAACAATATGGAAAACCCTAAACTTCCTCGCTAACACTGTAGAACAACAAAGCATCTTAGGTTGGAGGCATCCAGGTGCATTACAGTAGATAATTCCAGCCTGTAGCCATTGACATATATGATATGGGGAAAAAAAAAACAAAAAACAAAAAAAAAAAAACATCGGAGTAACATTAAATTTTCCTTTAAAAAGAAAATATTTCTTATTGAATATCATTTATTGTATGTGTTAAAGTAATCTAACCATAAGCTAATTTTGCCAAGCAGATACAAAGCAAAGTCATGGCAGGCATGGATTGAAAAGTTCTCTCCTCAAATCACCAAACCTCAGGACACTTTATGGGATAAACATTTCCAAGGTTGGACTAAATTAAGTCATAGCTTCAGTTTCAACAAACAGCTTTCTTTCTTGGTCTTCCTCTGGGCCTTTTTGGGGTCTTACAGTCTTTATTTCTTTCCCTCTTCTTCATTTCAGTGGGGTCAAAGTCTAAGTCCTCATTTGCTTTCTGGCTTGATGTCACTTTTTCATTGGTCTCCTCGTCCTCTGTTAGGTCCAAGGATTCCTCACTCTCACACAGCTCCTCTTCATCATCTTCACTGCTCGACTGTCTGCTCTTTGACTTCCGCTTTCTTCCTTTGGCAGTATCAGTGTTTTTATCTTGTTCCTCTTCAACTGTCGTGTCTTTGATGTCTTTCTTTGGTCTCCCGATGGGTCTGCCTCCTCCACCAGTCCACACCTCCTTTTCTGCAGTGTGATCCTCCTCTACATTTTCATACAATGAGTCTGTGCCTTCATCTCCCTCAGGGTCACCTCTAACGGATCCCCCCAGGTTTGTAGTCTTCTCCTGATTCTCAGACTCTGTGTGGAAACGCTTGAGGTGGATCTCCAAGCTTACGTTGTAAATGAAGCCTTTGTTGCAATGCTGACACTTGTAAGGTCTCTCCTCTGTGTTCATACGCACGTGTATGTTGCTGTGGACTGCTAAAGCCTGCTCGCTGACACACCTCTTCCCACAGATGTTACAAGAGAAGGGCTTAATTTTATACTCACAAATGTGAGGCCCTCTGGTTTCAAAAAACGTTCCACATTCTGTGCAGAGCTCCCTCTGTTTGGGAGCAGACTCCTCAGTGTGTGCAGCAGAAGAATTATAATCCTTATCAGAATCCAAAATCAAAGACTTGTCTTCTGGCTCCCAGTTATCGTCTGATTTCTCAAACTCATCCATCTTGCTGGATTCATCCATCTCCTCCTTGTGATCACTCTCTTCTTTGACAGTTTGGTCTTTCTCTGAGATTGTTGCCGTCTCATCTAAAGATGTCTGTCAAGCACAAAACAGGACAAAAGATGGTCTTAATTCCCAGTCCGAAATTCAATAGAAGCTATACAAAATTTTATATTAACTTTTTTATTCCTCAAACCCTGACAGACCAAGACAGACAAAAAAAAAGCATCACTGAGGTTATATTGAAAGTTTGAATAAGCAACCACTGTAGGAGCTAGACTATGTTAGTAGTGACTGTGGGAGAGAGCTTGTTTGCTAACTTGTAATTGCTCCATCCTCTAACGCATGCCCAAATGTCCCTGAAATTTAACTTGCCCCTAATCTCCAAATAAGGGTATTTGTGAACTGATTGATATAGCTTTTAGTATTAAAAAGCCTCCAGCTTTCTGCCTTTTATGGTGTTCAACTTTATTAAGTTAGTTCTAGATCCAGGTCAGTTCAAACTTGTTAATCATTTCAATGGATCCCGTAATCAAGGATCAAGAAAGGATGTCCATACAACAAACGCACAGATGTATTTGCCAGTTGCTCTCTCGGATAAAATCTGGTTCCCATGTATTGAAGACATGGACTTAGCCTACACCACCACCACCACCACCACCACCACCACCACAGACGGACTTTAGTAAACCTAAATTGACTGTCCAGGTATTTCAAAGAACAGTATTTAGTTATCATTAGTGAGGATGTGCATAGGCTAAAAAAGGTATTGGAATATAAGCTTTTTCAAAGCAGTCTAACCTTATTTAAATGAAACCTTTAACCTGTAAAAGTAACTTGGTTCCACAATGAACTTTGCTTAGATTGGACTTGAAGTTAGAAGCCTATGCCTTCCTCGCCTAAATTCCCCTGAAATCTACATGGTTGTATGCCCCATTTTACCTCAACAGTAACGCATAAGAGGGGCGTTCAATAAGTAATGCCCCTGACCCACTTCCAGATGTTTTATCGAGCTGAAATTCTGCATGTGACGTTATACAAATCTCTATAGATCAAGTAGCAAATTACAGCTCTGAACTATTTGTGGTTTCTGACTTACAGGTGTTTGAACTGAGTAAAGTCTGAAAATGGAGCCTGTTGAGTGTCGTGAAGTGATCCGCTTTTTCTATTGGAAAGGACTCACCATGGGAGACTTTTGATCAAATTAAAGTAAATTATGGCGATGATGCCCATTATATGACCTTGCAAAATGTTTTACAAAGTTATTTTATGGGACATTATCACTATAAGTTACTTTCAAATGCAAAAACTCAGATTTGACTCAGTTTTAACAGCAGTAAATCAGAAACCACAGAGCTCAGAGCTGTAATTTGCTATTTAATCTATAGCGATTTAAAATACCTCACATACAAAATTTCAGCTCAAACATCTGGATATATATATATATATATATATATATATATATATAAATAAAATAATAAAATAAAATATCTTAGATGTAGACAATTCAGTATGAGTTGTTTCAGTTATGTAGCTACTTTTTAAAAATCTTTATTTTTTAGGAGGTGATGACACCTTTTTCGAAAGCACTCGTAGAAGATATGAGTCAAGAGAAACATGATTATAATAGATAAAAAACATGTTATGTGGTACCTACCTCTAAAGATATTTCCAGGCATTCTGTTTGGTGATCATCTAAAAAGGCAGAAACGCTTTTTTCACTCAGATTTTTCCACTGTTTACTGTAGCTGCACTGCAGGCACTGCTGGTTCAGGACTAGCAGCGCCCCATGGACAAACTTTTCCGTCTTCACTTTAGATTGACACAAAGGACACTCTGCACTGAACAGCTGGAGAAGCTGCTTTTCACTTACAATATATTTCTTAGTCTTATGAAGCAGGTTGACTCTGAAAAACACATTTATATTGGAGTTTTAGAGATCGATTTTTTAAAACCCTAGACTTGTAAAAAAAAAAAAAAAAACATAATAGGCTGACAAATCATTACTATAAAATGTAAAAGAATGAGAGAACAGTTTGAGAGAAACTCACTTTTCCATGATTTCTTGCAGCATTTTACAATAACCTGACTCTGAAGATTCAGAAACTTTGCTTAATGCTGGGCTTCCAGGGGCGCCTGCAAAATAAAGTCAGAAATGAATAAAAACATTCCAGGCAAAGAAGCGATTCTGCACCAGTCTTCTGTTCAGTTCAGTTCAGTTCTCTCACTTAATGTGGATGTCTCGTCTTTGACCCACGCTGATGATCCTGGGGTTGGACTGTCATGTGGTATTGACTGCTCAAGTTTAAAATCAGCATCTATCGGCTCAATTGTTTCCTAA